ACGGATCAGTGGGCGAAAGTTGCTGCTGGCGGTCTTTTTACATCTTTCGCGTTTTTGCCGCGTCTTGATTGGACTGAACTTTGTGGTTGAAAAGGGGGTGATATCCTGTTGGAGGTGGCGGACGAGCTGCCAATTTTTTGTTGTGTTTGTGTCTGTGTGAGAATTCTTTAACTTTCCCTTCTTATGAGTGTTTGTATTCTTGTTTTGATTTGTAACAGATACGTTTTTTTTGTGTTTTTCATTTCTGGAATGTGCCTGCTGCGGACAGTATTTTGACTGGAGTGCGTTGTCCGAATTTAAATGGGGGGATTAATCTTGTTTTTTTTTTAGCCGCTTTGGGTTAACGGATGTTTTTTTTTTGTTGATGGCTTTGGTCTACGTGTGCTTTTTTTTTTCGTACTTCTGCCTCTTCCAGGTGCTGCTTTAGTTGTGTGCGCTATGGAGGGTACGCGGAATGCGTGGCTGCGGTCCGACCTCACGGACGTTGGGTATGAATGTCCGCAATGCATAAACTCGTAATGAAAGAAAAGGAAAACAATGGGCGAGACCTCCTCTCACCGTGTTTGCTTCTTCGTTACCAACATGTTTCTGAGAGTTTACTACGAGTCGTTTATCTATTTTTTTTTCGTCTGTTTATGGCTTTGTTATTTTTTTTTATGTTTTCTTTAATGTACATTTGTGTTAAGTTTTTTTTCTTCCTTCTTAAATGTATGTTGCTCTTTCTTTTTTTTTCCTCTTTGTTTTTGCTTTTCCTCTAACCTCGCTTCCGCGTTCCCCGCCAGTCCTCGCTGAAGAGAGCGTCTTTGGCTCCCCCGTAAAAGAAAGGGGAAGGTGCGTCTCCGCGAGAGTCCTGGACGAAGAGAGAATCGTGCAACTAATACGCATCGACGGCGGCTGCTTTGAGGTGTGAGGATTCACTACTACGTTCCCACGCCAGGGGCAGTTGCTACTGCGAGAATTCGAGGGAGGGAAAACGCGGGATCGCGCACACGGCCATTGCAGTGTCTTGCTCTCTCAGTCCACATTGGCTGAAAAGGTGGGGGTGAGGGGAAGTGTGTTTGTGCGCGTCCGTGTGCCTGTGCTTGTGCGTGTGTGTGTGTGTTTGTTTGCGATCCGTGGTTAGGAAGCTGTTGTAGGCGTTTTGACGATCTGCAAACAGCTGCTGCGACGACGGCAAGCAAACAAACCGAGCGTTGCAGAAGGAGGAAAGCTGAGCAACAAGATAATCACAAGGATGGCTTTAAGTAGCCTTCCTAATTCCTCGCTAGAGCTGCCCCAACTCACCAGTGATGCCTCGGCCAGTGTGGCCAGTGTTTCTAGAGAGGAGAATGGCGTCGCTTCCTCATTGCGGTCTTCGAATAGGAGCAACCCAACTCCTTCTGAAGCACAGGGGTTTCAAGAGTTTGTGAATGTTGTGGTTCGGTTGAAGCCTCCCACGTCCAACGGTGTGAGCAGCCAAGTTTTTGCGTTTCTCCATTGAGTCGGGCAATTTAGGCACTCCCCGTACTGGTCGTCGTCGCGCCAGTTATGCCCAAGGGAATGTGCCTCGCCCTGTTAATAGGGTTGGGGAGGGCTCGCTTAACCGTGGAAAGGTGCAAAAAAAAGAAGTTGCCTGCTCGGTGGGCGCCAACTGTTCTATGGGCTCTGCCATGTCGGCGCCAACGGCAACGGCAACACCAAATCCAAACGGCCTGTCCCAAGCGATGCATACCCCGCGTGTAGGTGGCGCGAGCAGTGGAAAAATATTGACTCTTGCGCTGCCCACGTCTGAGGACGCCAAGGAGGCGCAGCACATGTATGAGTTTGGGGATGTCATTGGCCCCTCGGTAACAGATGAGCAAATGTGTCGCTCGATTGTCCCAGGCATAATTGATCCAATGAAAGCCGGGTTTAACGCCTGTGTGCTGTGCTACGGTCAAACGGGTAGTGGCAAAACGCATACAATAAACGCCCTAATCCCTGCTGTTGCTACGGCCTTGTTTGACACTCTGGATGCGGAGAATGACATCGTGGAGGTGTCGTACATACAAATATACAACAACAATGTCTATAATCTGCTCGGTGAAGAAGCTCAGTATGGGCGTGGGGCACTTCGGCACAAACCAAGGGGAACACTGGTGCAGGAACCACGGTACGTTGTGCGTGATGCCGTGGACGCAAAGTCAAAGATTGCTGAGGCGCAGCACAAAAGATTCGTGGGTTCTCATGCATTGAATGCGCGTAGCTCCCGGTCGCACGCTTTCCTTTCCTTTCATGTGACAAAATGCGTTGAGGGTATCCCTGTACTAAAAAGTAGTTTGACGATGGGTGATCTTGCAGGTTCAGAGCGTGTAACGAAGACGGGTGTTGCAGGGGTAGAGCTTGAGGAACCCATTGCCGTTAATAAGTTTCTTTCAGTGCTACATGCCGTCATAAAGGCTACCGCCGATGGCGCAGAGGTATTGCCCGTGCGAGAGTCCATCCTAACTCGCTATCTTGCCTCCACTGTCACCGGCAGCCACCTACTTCTCATTGCAACTGTGTCGCTGGACAAACAGGATTACGCGGAAACAAGGAGTTGCCTCGATTTCGCCACAGCGGCAAAGCGGTACGTTGTGAAGAGAAGTAAAAATCGATCGAGAGATTTTTTTCTGAATGTAACAAGTAGTTTTGAGGAGGCCTACACGCAACTGCTGAAAGAGGTGGAGACGTTGCGCTATCGTGTGCGCACGTTCCAGGAGGAATTAAATATTGAAAAGCAGCGCTCTGCCCTCGTCGTAAAGCGTGCCTGTCCCACTCCGACAGCCGCAGAGGCAGGGAGTACCGGCACGGCTGACGAGCACGCTTTAAGAGACTCCTCCGCGACAGTGCAGGGGAAACACGAGGTTGCCAAAATGCGCAAGCACGTCCTAGAGTTGGAGCGTCAGTGTGCTGTTTTTCAGAGTATTTTAAGTGACCGAGAAAACGAGTTGAATGCATTTGAATCACGAGGAGAGGTTGCGAAGAAAGTGATGCAGGAGATACAGCAAAAAGCGAGGGAAAGGGAGGAGGCACAGCGAGCTCTGGAAGAAGCGGCGCCTCAGCTAGAAACAAGTGACTTGCTGCGCAAGGTGACAGACACGATTGCATGGATGCAGGAAGAGTTGGATAGTGTGTGCCAACAGAAACAGTTTATGGCGAGGGCGATGGAAGGAATGCGGTGTGAGCAGCATCGTGTGACGGTGGACCTTTTAGAGGCCCGAAAGGGTCTGATACGGCTTGAAGGCGCCCAAGAGGAATCCTCGCAGAAGTTGAAGGAAGCTGCTACGGAAAACACAGAGCTGAAGGATCGACTTGAGGAACTGAATTTGAGGCTTCTACGCGAGTGCGCCGAGCGTGCCATTCGTGAGGAGACGATGGCTTGGTTCAAGGCCTCCACTGAACGCGATGAACAGTGTGAGCGGCTGCGGACGGCGCTGGAAGAGCAGCGGAATCTCTGCGACGTTCTTCAAGGCCGTTTAAATAGCACGGAACAGGAACTTGATCGCAGTAATAAGCAGCAGGGTACTCTGCTGCAGGAAATGCGCAAAAAGGACGAGGCGTTTCGCACTATTTGGCTTCTGCTTACTCCACAACAAAAGGCGCGCTTCCTTTCATTTGGGGACAGTGGCGAGGGCGCGAGTGGTGCTGGTTCCTCCTCACTGCATCAAGGCCACGAAAATGTACAGCTGCGGACTCAACTGCGAACGATGAAGCGACAATTAGAAGAGGAGTTGCTGCGTAAGAAGGAGCTGGAGTACAGAATAGACGATTTAGAAAAGGAAAACAACCTCCTACAAGGGCGGCTGCGGACCCGAGAGGATGAGTATAAGAGCCTTCTCTCTCTTGACCAGGATTATAGAGACGAGCGTGAGCATATGGAGCAGCAGATTGCTCACCTGTTCACCTACATCGAGGAGCACAACGCGAAAGAGCAGGTGACTGAGCGACAACTTCGTGACGCGCAGTCCGAGTGGGAAAAGTTGAATAAAGGGCATCAGAATGCGCAACGTGAGGTGGTGGATTTAACGGCAAAGCTTGAGAAGGTAGAGGAAGAACTTCGAGCGCAGCGGGTCGATAACACCAAGACTAAGGATCGTGTGAGGGAGGCGCAGAAGCAGGAGGCGCCCATTGCAGGTCTGCATCATCAGTTGACCACCATTAAGCACATTGGCGATGAGACTTCTCGACGACGCGGAATTGCAGGCGTAGCGCGGCAGCAAGTGGCGTCCGAGCTTAACAATTACAATCCCCACAGCGACAACATTAAACGGAAAGCCAAGCGCCGCAACCTTGAGCTTTCCTTCAAGTCTTTGATGCAAAGTGTGGATCCTGCAATGTTTGTTCGAGTCGCCACCGCGCAGCCCTTATCGGTAAATGGTCGCGGGCAGCGTCACCTGAATGGGGGACCGCAACAGCTGCGGCGTCGCCATTCCCCCCCATTTTTCTTCAGCGAGACAGCGAGGCCACGGAGCGGGTCCCTTGTTAGTAACCGTACCCATCCCGGCGGTAGCCGTCGCCGCCGTCGCCGCCGAACGATGTCTCTGCAGAAACCACACGATTTGAGGTCGCGGCCACAGCTGCTTGCTGCGAATGCTGTCGTTGCGGAGGCTCCTCCTTTTATCATTGGATGAGATTCAACCTTGCAATTCTTGGACGATTGAGGAAGCGGTGCTCTTATTTTTATTCCACCTCATTTATTTGTACAGATCACTGCCGTACAAAGTATTCCATTCGAAATAAGCAAAAATTGGTGGTTGAATTTACAGATTTTGGTTGCTGCTCTTTTTTCCCATAGTTCTGCCGTTGTTGTTGTCGTTGTTTTCCTTTTTGCATTTACTTGGCATTTTCCGAACGTGCGTACAATTATCCCCTTCTTCCTCGCCTCCTCACTGTAAACGTATAATGTATACGTCCGTCACCTTCTT